TTTTTTTTTTTTTGATAAGAATAGGTTTTGTTTTCAGCAAAGGAGGTTTTTCATTGGTCAAGTTGCCAGCTGACCAGTTTTACAGACACTGTTACTATGTGACATCAGTTCCTTTTAATAGGTTTACTTGTTGTGTACTGTCGCTATGGGAACTTCTGGTGTGACGGATATCTCAAGCCCTTATCCACCTTATTTCTAAACGTGGAAATAAGCCTATGGGTGAGACTTTGGGTTCATTAGCCGCTATAGGGAAATAACGAGAAGAATAACAGCGTGCAGTAAATGATAAAACTGTTGCCATGACTCCAGAGGCTGTTAAGGAGCTCAGTTACGGGTTACTGACTCGGTGCTTAGAGCTACCAGTCATACTGCCCGGGTAATAGCCTGGTCCATGGCAGGAATGGTGGCAGTTGAGCGCCATCTTTGGCTTACTCTAACTGACATCAAAGAAACGGACAAAACTTTCCTTTTAGATGCCCCCATGTCTAAGGACGGTCTGTTTGGAGAATCTGTTACTGCTGTGGTGGAAAAATTTTGGCAGCGAAGAAGCAGTCTTCTGTTTTTTGTTTATGCTGCAGACTGATGGGTCTTATGGCAGCAGCGTCCCATGTGGTTCAGTTGGGCCTGCTCCACATGAGGCCATTCCAGTGGTGGATCAAAAGCCAAAACATTTCACCTCACTACCACCCGAGGCTTTCATGGTCTGTATCAGAGGACAAGGCTCCATTTCTTTCACAGGGGAGTCCAGCTAGACACGTCCTTCACGGGCTGGGGGCAGTCTATCAAGGACACCCGACCTTTGGAACCTGGACAGAGGTGCATCGTGGCTGGCACATAAATCGATTAGAGATGCCGGCAGTGTTTCTGCTACTCAGACGGTTCTTACCATATCTGAGTGGTTGTCACATATTGAGGGGCTTTCGCACCGGAGGAACCTTTTCACAGTTCCTAGAACTATTGGCAGAAGTACCTGCTTTTGGGCATGTATGCCGAGTTCTAGGAACTCCGTTTGGGGGAACTAAACTGGGGCAACTAAATTAGCTCCTATTTCAGAGTAGGGTCTAAAACAGTTTTATAGGAACTAACAGTGTACACTGATTGGCCAAATGCTGATTGGCCAAACTCATACGAAACACTAGCTACCCGGCATTTTTAAAAAGCCATGTAAAAATATTTACTCCACAAACATGGAAAACAGCGATAACAGCATTTAGCTATCTGTTGTGTGCAACGTTCTGTTCTTTTCTCAGCCTCGATGATAACACTACAAGTTGTCATCAGAGATTTAGTCAGATTTTTATGCTCTTTCAATCGCGTAAAGTCTTAGCTGTCTGCTGCTTCAGAGTTCCTGCTAGAGGTGTGAATGCAACCAGCAAAACGGCCCGAGGGGGAAATTGGTTTTCTAGGAACCACCATTCTGGCTAGTTCCTAGAACTTCCTGAGCCCCTTTGGTCAGGACGGACAACATGAATGTTGTCTCGTACCTGAATCGCCAAGGGAGACTACGTTCTCACCCCCTGTGCAGGTTGGCGAGACGTGTTCTTCTTTGGGCGCAGACCAAGTTTCTGTCAGTCAGAGTGGTTCATTGTCCAAGGTCATCTGAACTATGGAGCGGACCTACTTTCGGGGCAGAATTTAGGTTACACCCTCATATGGAAGAGGTTCAGCTAAGCAGAAGTGGACTTGTTTCTTTGAGCATGACTACACATTGCCTGCTATGGTTCTCCCTGTCTCCTGCTCTATCAGTGACTGCTCTTTCAATCAGCCCTTCTTGTATAGACTTTGCCCCAGGGCTGGTTAAAGTTTTGCTGCGACCTAGGCTTGAGTTTATTCCTAAGGTTGCTTCAACCCTATTTCACTTTCAGCTGGTGGTCTTGGAGGCTTTTTTCCCCATTCTGATGCGGGGAATGGAAGTGACGTGCGACTTCCTAGTCTTTGCCGGGTGAGGGCGTTGAAGATCTGTGTTGACCGCGCAGTCCAGTGGCGTAGATCTGACAAATTGTTTGTATGAATTGGCGGTAAAAACAATGGAGCTGCTGTCACCAAACAGAGAATGTCTCATTGGGTGGTTGAAGCTATCTCTGCAGCCTATGAGCGTGTGTCACCTTTAACATCTTTGGGGTTTGTAAGTCACTATTCTTTATAAAGAGGCATTAGAGCAATATGTATTCTGAAAAGCAATGTACAAACAAACTGAAATTGAAATATCATTCAGCATATTCATATATTCAATATGAAATATATTCAGCATATAAAACTCTGTACAAACAAGAAACTGTGAAACACTGCACAATATTCCTTATTCTATGCCATATTCACATAGAATGACTCTCCCTGGAGTAAACTGGTATTACTGTTAGGCACAATGATAAAAACAATCTTTCTTCTGGTTAATGGCTCATCACAACTTCTCCCAACAGGTGATTTCCAGTGGTAAATTTGCTTTCATCACCAGGCATAATTGCAAACACAAAATTTACATTTTAAGGACTATTCCAGGTTTGATGCAAGTTAAACTTAATCAACAGAACTTACCTTTTCTTTAAAATTTTAAATTAAAATCTGCTTTACAGTGGAAGTGTATGGGGCCAATCCGTACACATTAAAATCCACAGTTTCAATAGTACAGAAACAAGATGAAAACAGTGTTTTAGCATAAGTATGAAAGAATAACTTTAGATATGTTCACACTGTCAGTTTTTGGGATTGACAACCACATTTACTTACAGGTCTGAGTCTCAAAATGTCCCGTTCACACAGCGACTTACAGTAGCGTCTCGAATACTGTCTACGAACTTACAACAAGAGTCAAGCTTGTGTTCCTTATCAGTAGCCACAGTGACTAAAGTAATATCAAAGATGGTGACATTCAAAAAACTGAAGTGTCTTTTCACTTTTGGACACAACAAGAGTCCAGTCGAGCCGCCAGTTCATCCATCAAATCTTCAATGCAAGCTTTTTAATCTGAGTGGAGAGGTGTATATGACTTTCTTCTTTTAGACAAATACATTTGGAGTCATATTTAAAAATGTCCTGGCTCTTCCAAGCTTTATCATGGCAGTGAATGGTGGTCAAGATTTTGAAGCAAAACGTGCATACATCCATCATTTCTAGCTTCTGCTAACTGTCATATGCGCGTTCAGGAAAGAGTGGCGTTCCAGCGGATGACGTAGGATGTAGGCGTAGCATAAGCTCCGGTGAGAAGTGACGAACATAGAAGCACAGAGGAGAGAGCAAAACAAAACACGGTCATGAATTAGAAGTACAAAATGATTATTTGTAAAGAAACATGTCAGAGGATTTCAATATAAGCCAGGAGGAGACTGGTTTTCCTTTGCTGTAAATAAAACTTAGTTCTCATCCGCTAGAACGCCACTGTCTCTTGAACGCGCATACGACAGTTAGTGGAAGCTAGAGATTACAGCTTAAAAAGTTTTAAATATGGATATTTTTCAGAAGGCCTTTATGAATGGATATTATTGCTTCAGAAGGCCTTTATTAACCCTTTCACACGTGAGTTTAAAATATACTAGCTGAGCCACCGGCGTGAGTTTTTTTAGGCGACCGTTATTTTAGAATGAATTGTTGAACAGTTGTGATATGACAAGCACTCAGTGTGTCTGATCTGGCTCCACTCCAGCCAAAGTGTGAAAGCAGATTTGAATTCAGCAGTTGATCATGTGATGCACTGAACATTCGAATCACACCGGTCTGATCGTACACTCCAGGGACCAGCCTAGAGTGATCACACCGGTGTGATTATACATGATAAAGGGTTAACCCCCCCGGAATCGTGTGGAGTCCTTTTTATGATGGATGGATGCACTTTATTTTGCTTCAAAATTTTGACCACAATTCACTGCCATTATAAAGCTTGGAAGAGCCCGTACATTTTTTAATGTAACTTTGATTGTATTCGTCTGAAAGAAGAAGGTCATTTACACCTAGGTTAAATCAATTTTCATTCTTGGGTGAACTGTCCCTTTAAGGACTCAAACACAGGACTGACAAGCATATTTTGCTGCTGTGTGAACATGGCCTTTCTAAACTTTTCTGTGTCAAGTTATGTACCATTTTACAACATTATAATGGATATATTTTAATAACGTAATAATTGGAATGCATAAAAATCCAGATTCCTATATTTTTTTAAACAAGGGATGAGTCAAAAAAAAATTGTGTTGAATTAGATTATCTTAACATTCCTGTAAGGCATTTAGCAGACACTTATATTCAGAGCTACTTATAAGAGTGCTTTAGCTTCACATATGAGATTGGCATGGTCAACAGATGGCAGGCATTTTTTTTTTACAAAATTCTTATTTACAAATGGTTCTGATAGTAGTCAAAAATAATGTAGGACAAGATTAATTACTTTGTCTATACAATAACACTCAACATTGAGTTTTTCCACTCACAATACTGTTACTGAATACAAAACCCTGTCTGTGATTCTTAGTCTATCACAGTATTTTTCTTCTGTTTAGTCATGTCTGTCTATGGTCCATGGCACACCCTCCGTGCCTGGAGACAGGAAATAATCCATGTTATGCAGATGAATGCCCTCTTGCTGAACAGGAAGGAAGTCTTGCTGGCTGTGTTTGGGAGGAGACATCAGTGACTTTCCCTCCTCTGGAAGCTGCTCAGAGTGAACAGGAGCAGGAAGAGGTCGAGGCGAATGAAGGAAGAATGCAAAGGGCAAAGTCTGTTTTCCTATTCTAGACATGAAATGCAGCCTATTCCTATAAGAACACAAAGTAAACGGGGGTAAATTTGATGAGTGAATAGAAAAAACAACGAAACAGATTTTGAACAACTTCACTTTTTAAAAGACAAAAGGCATTTTCAGAGCTGAAAAATCACTAAATAGATATTAAAAGATGGAAAAGATAAAGAGTTTTACCTGTGTAAGCAGACTGTGAGCATGGTGAAGACTACAAGAAAACACAGCCCAAAAACACATGACACATACAGCCACACTGTAGCATATTCAATATCATCAGCTCCATCTACTGCCACTGAACCCGAGAGAAAGAAAGAGTAAATGAGGACAGAGGTGAAATGTCACGGAATGCTGAAACGTGTGGAAATTACAGCACATTGTTAAACTCCAAACATGTTATGGTGACCACTTCCTGTTTTGACTTTCCAGTAAGGTGCCACGTTCATTTCCTGTCTGCTTTCATTATAGAATTAGCAGATGTGTGAGTAACAGTACCTGAAAGAGAACAATGAGACAAGTTACCCTTGTTTTCTTGCTCAGACTCACCTACACAAGGGTCTTCTCCAGATCCTCCTGAACCTTCAGGAAACATCTCAAGGGGCTCCTGAATGACAATGGAAGAAAAAATAAACATAAAGGTTTAAGTATTTTAATCAGTGTGTATATGTCTAAACGGGTACAACAAAAGGCATGTAGAGATATGTCAGTGTGTTTGTGTATTATATTTTGTTGAATGAACTCACCAAAGTAATGCTCTCAGAGGTAGTAGTCGTCTCAGGAGCTACAAAGAAATGCAAAGAAACATTCCAATGTTCAAAACATTTTTTAGGGTGAATATAAATGGCTGTCACAACCGTAAAGCTGTTGTTTTGCTCCTCTACAGCAAAGTTTTGTAAGATTAAAAGGTATTTTCAGAAAATTCTAATTGTGTCTTTATACAGACTGTCAATGCTGCTTGGATGTGGCATGAATGCATTTACACAGTAATAATAATTGTGCACTTTGATAATGAGGCTGAAGTTGGTCAGAGCAGACATAATTTAATCTGGCTTTTAACAGAGTTTTGAGCAGCCTTAACTCAGCAGTGTAAAGATGTAAAAGTGTATTTTGTCTTGTTCTTGAATATTTAATACTAGAAAATAAAACAACAATTATTCTATATACAGTCATATATGAATTATATAGACTTTTGTCTGTTCGTTTTGGTCCTAAAAGCTACTAATAAATCTGTGCAGACCTATAGATGCTACAATTCTTGAGTCTGGAAAAAACAAGACAAAATGTACGTTGGTCCGACTCTGAGTTTGATTTTATGTGGCAAACTTTCATAAATGATTTTCAAAAACAGTTATAACTTGATTTGGTTGAATTAATGCAGAAGTCTGTTTTTATGATTTATTATTATTTTTTAATGTATGTACACTTGTAGTGTTGTCGGTTGTGTTGGTATGTGATTGTGTATGTTGTTGATTGTTGTACAAAATAAAAACGGAAAAAGCTACTACTAAACAGTGAAATTGCTAATTGAAAATAATTGTGTTCTTTGATATTTACAAATACTAATAGGTAATTTGAAACACTAAATTTAATGTGATGTGAAAGGCTTCAACTAAATGGGTCTCTATTTCTAAGCAATTTGTGTGGTTTTTAATTTCAACCACTGTTAGTCTACTAGCAATTTTGGATGTTTGTAGCAAAGCCCTGTCCTTTTTCACAGCTTGACCAACTGACTGAAAGCTCAATGTCCAAACAAACAATCAGACGCTTTTCCCAATGCAAACAGTGTAAATGATATTCTCATAGACTCCCAGTAAAGCACAGAATCTGGACATGATCTGTTTAGAGCCTCTTATCTGACGAACACTGATCTTTGCTCTCTTAAAATCAATAATACATGATGTATGTGCCAAATACACACAATACTTAAAAATACACCAAAAAATACACCAAATTTCTATATAGTAGCACAATATTTAGATAGATTAAAACAATTATTACAGTATTAAAAAATTGCATGTATTTTGTTACCTGTCCAAGTGACTGCATAGACCGTGTCAGTCCAATCACTCCAGAGGCCGTCGAAGTCATCCTTGGCCTGGAGCTGCACTTCATACTGAATGTGTGGCAGAGCATCATAAATCGTCCAGGACACTTGTCTGTCCGTCCTGTCATCTATCAGCACTGACTGATACTAAATACACACACAAACACACATAAATACAGCCACAGACTCTACACATAACCCAAGCTGTGCTATTTCAAGAATTATACATATATAAGCCTTCCCACTTTACCTGCTCTTTGAGTTGTGGTCGGTATCTCAGCTGGAAATGCAAGGCATAGAAGCCATGCTTCCAGGAACTGGGATACGACCAGGATACTTTAAGCATATGCTTCTGGCCCTCGACTGCTCTCACCACCACTCGGGTCGGAGGGTCTGGCTTAACTACACAGAAAAAGATTTTTGTTTCATAAGCACATTGGTGGTGCGCTAAAAGTGTGACTAATCAACATCCCAAAGGACAGAAAAACACAAGCACTCACTGATGTCGTGCAGCTTGAAGCTGAGGTAAGGGCTCATGGCACTGCCTGCTGTGTTAGACACGCACAGTTTTGCTGCATGGAGAACTCTGTCACCCTCCTCCACGTGAAAAACACACCAACAGCGGGAGCGGGAGAATGAACAAGGCACACGAGTGACGTTGCCAAACAATCTTTGCAGAGAGAGAAGAAAAGTGCACAGGAGAGATCAGATGTTTCAAGGAAACCAAAAATAATCCAGTCACAATTTAGTCGCATTCGGTTCCAAAAGTTATTTTGAATGTTTTTCATTAAAAAAGGTAGATTTTTTAGTATTTTTAAACATTTTGACATACTGACCAGATGTAAACTGTAAAAAAAGCTTTAGAAATCTACAAATCTTTATTTTATAAATAAATAATACATGTATTTAAATAATTACATTTTATTACAATAAGGTGACAAGATATTGTCCTACCGCCTTATTGTAGTAAAATTATTTATGTATATATATATATATATATATATATATATATATATATAAGTTCGTCAATCAGCAACCCACCTTATACCTCACGGACTCAAGTAAGATTCCATTCGTATGCTCCTTGCTTACCGAAAAGGCTTTGGATTGGGCCACCGCCATCTGGAGAACGGATGGGTCAGTCTTTCCCTCGTTTGACATTTTTTTACAATGTTTTAAAGAAGTATTCGAACATTCAGCTGGAGGAAGGAGCGCTGTGGAGCAGCTTCTCACTCTGAGTCAAGGAAGAGGAACGGCAGCCGAATATGCTCTCACCTTCCGTACACTCGCTGCTCAAACTGAGTGGGTGGAGGACACATTAAAGCTGCTTTTTCGGCGGGGATTGAATCTGGATTTGCAAGCTGAGCTAGCCTGTCGCGATGAGGGGAGAACTCTAAATGAATTCATTGACTTAACGATCATTAAAACTGCTTTTTCGGTGGGGATTGAATCTGGATTTGCAAGCTGAGCTAGCCTGTTGCGATGAGGGGAGAACTCTAAATGAATTCATTGACTTAACGATCCAAATTGATAACCTGGTGCGCTCACGCCGACCCGCTCATACAACGCAACTCACACCATCGTTTCCCGCTACCAGCACGGAACCAATGCAGCTGGGCTACACTCACCTGTCTCCTGAGGAACGAGAACGCCGAATTCATCTCCACTTGTGCATGTACTGTGGTCAATCCGGTCATCTCAAGTCATCGTGCCCCATTCGACCCACCGCAGCTAATTCAAGAACGGTGAGTTCATACGTCCAGCACAAATATTCTACTTCCTGTGTCAGAATTCCAGTAAAATTGTTTATCGGCAGCAAGATTGTGTCAGTTGAGGCTTTATTAGACTCTGGGGCAGCGGGCAATTTTATGTCTAATGAGTTCGCTCGCGAACATCACCTCGCTCTAACCCCATGTACTTCTCATTTGGCAGTGGAGGCGCTAGATGGCAGACCTCTCGGAGGGGGAAGAATCACTAACATCACCGATGAATTACAGATGCAAATCGGCGTACTTCACCACGAGACCCTCAAATTTTATGTCATTAGTTCTCCAAATCATCCTCTGATCCTCGGTCTACCCTGGCTACGTAGACACAATCCATATATCTCTTGGAGGGAAGGTGAAATCACACAGTGGAGCCCTGCCTGTCACAATCACTGTCTCACTCACGACTCGCCAATACCAGTCAGCACCATCACCCTCACCAAGGAGAACCCAGAGATTCCCGGACTTCCCCTTGAGTATGCTGATCTTTCTGAGGCATTCAGCAAAGTAAAGGCCTCTCGACTTCCTCCTCACCGCTCCTGTGACTGCTCTATCGAGCTAATACCTGGCAGCATACCTCCCAAAGGTAGAATATTCCCTTTGTCTCAACCCGAGTCAGAAGCCATGAAGAAATATATTGAAGAGGAACTAACAAAAGGCTTTATCAGACCCTCTACCTCACCTGCTTCAGCTGGCTGCTTCTTTGTGAAAAAAAGGACGGCAGTCTCAGACCATGTATCGATTATCGGGGTCTCAACGACATCACCATCAAGTTCCGATACCCACTTCCGCTATAGACTTCATCACAGATCTACCCAACTCAATGGGAAATACCACCATCCTAACAGTCATAGAACGCTTTTCCAAGTCCTGCCGTCTCATTCCCTTACCTAAACTTCCTTCCACAACGAGCCATAAGATGGCAAGAGGAACAGGCCAACTGTCACCGTCGCCCAGGTCCAGAGTACGCCCCAGGTCAATGGGTGTGGCTATCCACTAGAGATATCCGCCTCAGACTTCCCTGCAAGAAACTCAGTCCTAGGTATGTTGGCCCATTCAAAATTCTAAGACAAATTACGCCAGTTTCAGTCCGTTTAGATTTACCTGCTAACTATCGCATCTCTCCCACTTCATGTCTCGCTGTTGAAACCCGCTGGTGGTCCGAGAGAGGGTCAGGAGAATGAGGGAGCCAAGGTCCAGGCGCCTCCACCCATTCTGGTCGACGACGAGGAGGCGTATCAGGTCAGAGAACTGCTCTACTCTCGACGCTGGGGCGGTGTACTCCAGTATCTGGTTGACTGGGAGGGGTACGGTCCGATATATAAATCATTTATCAATATGAGTGTGAAAGAAGGTCCTCACCCCCTATGCTGATTCTGACTGTGGAAATGAGTCTCTCTCCTCTGTAGCAGCTGTAATTCCCAGCATCTGCCCAGCTGAGATGAGGCCGTCTTAAAATCCCTCCCCTTTCCACTCCAGCATGCACCTGTCGTCCATTTAGAGTCCAGCGTGTTCGCTTTTTGATGCCTCTTGTCACCCTGGACCGTTCCTCTTCATAATCATAGTCCTCATAATCATCTTGCTCAAAATCTGTCCCCATGGTGATACCAAAGACCTCTTCCTCCTGTCCAGTAGTTTGAGTGACAGCACGCAAAACACGTCTAGAAGTGGTTTGTTCCTTTCTTATGGTTACAGGTGGTTTAACGGTGACCGTTGTGTCCCCTTTAGCTTTGGTATACATAGCAGAATCAGTCTTTTGGTATGTCCCAGTTGTAGCATTTCCCTTCATACTGGTTAGCTGTGTAGCATTAGCATAACCTTTTTGGGATGTCCAGCTGACAGTGATGTCTTCTCTCTGCTTGGTTCTGTATTTTTTATTCATGACACTGGCCGAAGCCAACGGCACACCGTCCACAGTGATATCGCCTCTGCAGCCAAACACAACATTGCTTCCTAACTTCAAGACCAAGACTCCAGGAAGGGGCTCTGAAGAAGATTCAAAACAGTTTTAGGTAATTAATCACATAAATCAGAGTTTTTATTTGTTTTTGCTTATGTCTCGTATATACTGGTCTCTACAGTACATTATACCCACAGTTCATTGCGTCGGTTAAATATGGAACAAAATTATGCAGCAAAGTGGTACTTTCACTTTCACTTCCTTTTATTAAAATCCCCCAGATTCTTCCCCACAATCACTCGTTCTTTCTGTCATTGTAAGTATGCTGAACCAGTGGACATGATTTAAAAGCAATACAACAACAATGATTATAAAAGGACAAAAGGGAATCACTGTATGTAAAAGAAAATGGTCAACTTTTTTTTCTCCAAGTTCATGGCACTTTGAAACAATAAAGTATTATTGAAAGCCTATAAAATCCACACTATGCCTCATTTTTATGTCTCATACGCAAACATCTGCTATAACATTACCAGGGAAATCCTCCTCATATTCATAGATGACTTTCTGTGTATCACATGTGAGTTTTACTTCATTTATGCACACTTTTGGCTCTCAGGAAGGAAATACTAGTTTATTTAATTTGTCCACTAACAATGCACAACAGACATACATGTCATTTTTCTCTCTCTCTGAATGTTACAGTCATTTCCACCACGTCTTAAATGATATATTGTGTTTGAGAACATTTTTTTTGGTGGGAATTAAATGTTAACATTTTTGTACTTAAAAAGGTCTCCGTTGTTTTGCAATAAGACTGATAACATAGTTAGCATTTAATGTATCTTAAATATACAAAGTTAAATACACACTTTTTGCAATTATAACTTGATTGCAAATGATGCAAAATAAAACTATTCTCATCAGAATTGAAATTTACATTCATCTTTTCTCTCCACACATCACATCTTTATATGCTCATACTTGTTTGCCACAATAGTATTTTTTATATAGTTTTTGAAAAAAACTGACAATCATTTTCAAACAATAACTAAGGAATCGTTCAGGGGCATAGATTACGCGGGGGACGCGGGGGACGTGTCCCCCCCACTTTTAATATCAGGTAAGTTCGTCCCCCCCACTTTTTCGGGCAAGTGTGTTCGCATAGAGGTTTTGAATCGTTTATATTATTTTTTACTCTTTTTGGATTCAAAATATTCAAAACGTGATCATTCATATTTTTAATAAGTTTTTTCCTTCATATTTTAAGATTAAAGCAGAACAAAAAATAAGTAATTAATGTGAGGTAAAAAGTTTCCAAGACGGTTTAAATGTGACCTTTTTCTTGTACCAAAGAAAGGTCCCGTGATAAAAGTTGTTAAAATACTAAAGGAATTTCTATTAATATTGGGCTATTCTTAACCACAAGCGCTTATCATTAACCTAACCACTGAGTCAGAGATGAATCACTCTGACTTACATCCTAACAATACCATGAAAGAGATATAATTATGGTTTTTAAAGTCAAAATATACAATACAGGTCAAGAATAGCTGATTTAGGTCAATCACACAAATTCATCCAAATGAATAATTCTCGGTTGTGTTTTGAAATGAAATGGTTAATTACCTTGTCGAGGACACAGCTCTTCTGGGGCAAGGTGAACTTCAATCGCAGCTAATACACCGAGGAGAAACTTGAGTGTAAATCGCGTCCACATTATAAATGAGATTTCACTTCCAAAAAAATAATCAGCCACCAAAATATACAATATGGGTACGGGTCATAATGTCAAACCTTTCAGCAAGTTTAACGAGATGAAAATTTACATTTTCCTCACATCAACATTTTAGAAAGATTAATAAAATAAAGAAAAGAAACCTTAAATTTTTAAATGTAACTGTTGCATTAGGACTATTATTTGAATCATGGTACAGATCTAGGATAAAGAAGTATTCGTTTGACAAAATAATAATATTGTCAGTTGCGAACAGATTTCGATCCGGAGCTCATTTGTTTGTGAGAGAGACAGAAGACTGCAGCCCCTTCCTCTCCTCCCCCGCACATTATACTATCGTTACTTTAACAAATCCGCTCTTGCGACACTGATGAACCACAAAGACAAACAAGTTCCTATTTGACAAGGCAAAGACCGAGAACAAACTAATTCTGTTTGCGGTCAGCTTTATAAAACATTACTACGTGTCCCAAGACCTGCTATATCTCTGAGGATCGCCAGAATAGATCGGGTCTGCTGCTAGTAATAGGATTAGAAATGGCTTTTATAAATACATTTTATTCACAATTAGAAATAGTTCCCAAAATGAATAGTCTCATTTACCCACCCTAATGTTGACAGTCTGTCATTCGTGGAACACAAAAGTAGAAATTCAAGCTTCATAAAAAACGGCGTAAAGTGTGATAAAAGTCCATACTTTTCTGGGGTCGTTATTCATTACACTTTTTATGGCTGCGACTGGATCACTGAATCAGTGAGTTGAACTCTAGAACCGGATCAGCTCAATTCGTGAGTAAATAATTTAAACTTGTCTTGAGAGCTGTATGAATAGATTCATTGAAAAGATCCGACTCAAAAGAACGAATCGTTTACAAATTGGGCATCACTTTTATCTTGAGAGAAAAGTATCATATGGTCAATTTTTAATGGTGTTTATGAAAGTTTGACATCTTCAGTCCCCATTCATTGCATGGAAAAGAGCAAGCAGAAGAATTATTCAAAATGTATCCTTTTGTTTTTCACAAATCATGATGGTGAGCAACTATAATATTATAATTTTTCGGGTGAATTATTCGTTTATAAATGATTTATCATTCAAAAATAATTAGACACACAACCATGATCAGTTTTTTTACTTGATTAAAATCATTTAATCATATCTATTTTTTTATTTTTCACTAGGCCCATTTACAACAGCAGGGTCATAACGTTCACAGATCATGTGGATTTGGCTAACAGACACTGAAACAGACTGCAATATATGTAAATGCTTTTATGTGTGGATGGAAATAGATACACATTTTTAAAAAACACACTCACAAAGTTAGCTTTTAAGGCATATAATTGTTACCTATTTAACAGTATGAGAGCTAGGCCTAACTTACACAGGAAACAGGACAAGTATGGTGCACAGTAACTTCTCACACATCTTTATCAACTTCCTTGGTCTGTCTCACCCATTCACAATAACACACACATTACTGTGTTTACATTCTTATTAGCCCATTTACCTAAATCCAAACACTGGTGAAGGCCACATTTAGATTATGATGTCAAGGTGGAATCCATTTGGTAACTCTGATGTTAATCATTTTAATCCAACTTCAAAAAAAAAAAGAAAAAAAAAAAGGTCAAACACATTTATTACAGTCCACTGGATCAGTGCAAATGCCTAAACCCTCAAGGGTCCAGTAAAGCAGAGTTTGAGGTTGAATTGGACTTTATGTCAAGCAGTCAGGGTTAGTGCACCAATATGGTGCAAAGAAATGGATGAGGAAGAACGGGTTCATCCAGCAGAATCATGTTCTCACTGAGAACTATAGTGTTTTATCACAGAACCACATACATCTTAGTGCTATTTTCAGCAGTGGGGAAAAACAGAACATCTCTAGCCTTCTCTACAGTATATAAGAAAGTTCACTTGCTTGAACTCAAGTAGCATTATTAACCTCTGAGCAACAAACAGACAGAAAGCTGAAGTATTTGACTCAGCAAAACAATATGCTGACAAAATGGTCAAAACAGTATGAGACCACAAGAAAGTCATTAAGAGATTCAAAAACAGAAGAAAAGATAAACCGCTCTTACTATATAGAGATACAGACAATCCTTGACTGAGATTCAAATGACCAAGATAAGATCCAGAACTACCCAATTTGAATACAAAAACATAAAACCTGATATAGCTGAGGCTGATACTTCAGGTCATTTAGTTATCGTTAATATCTGTACAACTGTTACATGTGCAGTGTATTAATATATTGTGTTATGCACAATATATTGTGTCTCCAGATTAAAAATGAATGAATCTAATTTAACGTAAACTGTAATTTAGTATATGAGAACAATTAACATCAGCTATTTGGATAGTCAGGTGTGTTGTAATATCAGCCTTGGCCATGTTTTTTAGTGGTTTGTTGTCTGATAACTTGGCTAGAATGGAAAACTCAGTCATAAACAGCTCAAATAACAGCAGATTTGTCCTTCTCACCGACAGGAAATCTGAAAATGAGCACAATACAGGAAATGTATGGTCTTTTGCGGTCTGTATGCACAGTTTGAATCTGCATTCATTTCCATGTGTTTTAATTCAAGCATGTGTTTACTTCCAAACTGTCTGGGACGCTGTCTTCACTGCCCATGTCCTCAGACAGAAACATGAGCACATGTCAGAAGGTGTGAGTGTTCACATGAAGGATTCCAGTTGGTCCATCTATCCATCACTCGCCACTGGAAGTTTCTTCTGCAATGGGAGGTGGACTAGGACTGCTGGCACCACTGATACGAGCTCCGGTTCCCTTCCACATAAACGGTGCTTCCTAGAAGAAAGAATGAAAGGTCTTAGAAATATCTGCACTGGAGTAAATGACAAAAATGAAAATTCTGTCATCATTTACTCACCCTCGTGTTGTTACAAACCCAAAATGACTTTCTTTTTTTGGTTACCATTGACTTTTATTGTAAAAATAAATACATAAATGAACAGAAGAAAGAAAGTTATACAAGTTTGAATTACATGAGGGTGAGTAACTGATGACAGATTTTTTTTGGGGGTAAACGGGATTATCGCATTACTATTAATTGTAAATTAACTGAAGCTAATTACTAAAATTCTACAGAAAAAGATCGCTTTCAATACCCTTTTTTCCCAATATATTAATCAAAAATGTTATTTAAAAGTTACATTTTTGGGGAGAACATGGACTTTAGGAATTATGCCACTTTGCATAGCATTGAATGTACTATGTTGTGTACTATTTCAGAAATCAATCAGCAAATTCAGTTTGCCCTTAATCCCCCCTTGCAACCACAGCTATACCTTTTCGGTTCAACAGTGTGTCAACAACAGCTGCTGTCCCAACCAATAGTTATGCTTTACATTTTTTGATTTTAGCTCTGTGTGAGATCTATGTCCAAAGAACAGGCACTGAAAAACATGCAAATCAGTAAAGAGGGAAAAAGAAGTGGGAAATCCAAAACAGCTAAGCTTTCAGATTTTAAACATTTGCATAACAGTTGAAACGCAACCACTGCATTAATAAAGTTATTGATTTGTATATTGTGTGTTAATAACTATTATTAAAAAATTGATTCATTCAATTAATTAAAAAAAAACATTTAAACAAACATACAGTAAAGACAGAATACTGTGAAATATTAAAACAATTTAAAATAACTGTTTTCTATTTTAATATATTTTCAAATGTAATTTATTCCTGTGATGGCAAAGCTGAATTTTCAGTAGCCGTTATTTCAGTTTTCAGTGTCACATGATCCTTCGGAAATCATTCTAATAGGCTGATTTGCTGGTCAATACATTTTTCTTATTATTATCAATTTTGATAACAGATTTGTGCTACTTAATGCTTTTTATGGAAACTGTGATACATTTCTTTCAGTATTCTTTGACAAATGAAAGTTCAAAATAACATTTAGTTGAAATAATGTCTTATAAATGTCTTTTATGTCACTTTTGATCAATGTAATGCTTTTGTTGAATATAAGTAATACATTTTTTTGATTGTGAACTTTCAAACAGTAATGTATACATCACAAAAAAAAAAGAACAATAGGGTTTTCCTAATTATTGGGGAACTGAGCATACTACTATGTACAAAAGTGAGAAATGAAAGTGTTTTTAATAGTTTTGCTTCCTGCCGTTTTCTCCTTGGGGGAAATTTTCTTTTTTTGTCAATCCACAAAATTCGTTTTTTGTGCTCCTACAATTTATTCCTGTGATGGCAAAGCTGAATTTTCAGTAGCCGTTATTTCAGTTTTCAGTGTCACATGATCCTTCGGAAATCATTCTAATAGGCTGATTTGCTGGTCAATACATTTTTCTTATTATTATCAATTTTGATAACAGATTTGTGCTACTTAATGCTTTTTATGGAAACTGTGATACATTTCTTTCAGTATTCTTTGACAAATGAAAGTTCAAAATAACATTTAGTTGAAATAATGTCTTATAAATGTCTTTTATGTCACTTTTGATCAATGTAATGCTTTTGTTGAATATAAGTAATACATTTTTTTGATTGTGAACTTTCAAACAGTAATGTATACATCACAAAAAAAAAAGAACAATAGGGTTTTCCTAATTATTGGGGAACTGAGCATACTACTATGTACAAAAGTGAGAAATGAAAGTGTTTTTAATAGTTTTGCTTCCTGCCGTTTTCTCCTTGGGGGAAATTTTCTTTTTTTGTCAATCCACAAAATTCGTTTTTTGTGCTCCTACAGAATCAACGCTCTGTCCAGTGTTGTATGACAACCTATATTTGTGCATGTTGACTTGCAGTTTGTGCTTGAACTTGTTTTCAGACGTATATTTACCTGCACAGTTGCTGTACTACATTCTCCGACGTCTCTTTCTGGACACCTAATAACACTGAGAGCGATATCATCAGGGCTGTGATGAAGGACAGGTTCATTACATGGTTGCTCTGCCTCGCCTGCTGCTGAGGAAGACGTGGAAAGCGGTGGAGCTTGAGAGGAGGCGGCGCTGTCTTCTCCAGTGGGTGGGGTGTTTTGCGCACCAGTGCTGTTTGCGTGTTTTTTCCTGCGAAGGGTATCGATCCAACTGCCGCTGTGGCGAGAGGCGAATGTGGCGAGAGCCAGCGAGCTCAGGCGCATATTTTTTCCCGATGTGATCAGCTCGCCGAAGCCCTCCTGATGTGCAAACGCATAACCGGAGCGTCGAGATCCACCTCGTCCCAAGCGACCAAGAGTACTGCCACTGGCTACACCAGCACCGCCCACTCCACGACCAGCACGCCCACCAGGCTT